TTTAAAAATATCTGACGGACAGTTTTTTAAGAGAACTTTTACATTTTTTAAGAGTAATTTTTTAAAACATATATTTAGTACTTTGTAATTAAAAAAAGATCTACTTCTCCATACACACTCGCGTGTGTATTTTTTCTTTATAATACTTACGAGAAGCTAAATGACCTTTTTTCAATCACTATTCTATTATACATATATATATTTGTAGAGTTTTTTATTATTTATATTTTCTATTCATCAAATAGAAAATAGAATTTGACTTGACCGCAGTAACCTCGCATATCCAGTTAGTCACCATCATGCTCATCCCCTGTGACGTATATCCGCAACTATACGGTCGCGTGCTAAGTTTTACGATATACACTCCGCGTGTGCGTGTGCGTTAATCACGCACTCGCACGATCCAGGAAAGTAAAGAGGAAATAACCCCGCGTCATGGCACGGGGCCCCTCATGCAGATGGCGAAGAAGTTGGGAGTCGCACCTGGCGGCAGGTGAGCTCCTCCATCACGGGGGGGAATCCAAAGAGGATTTCCCGCCGCACGACTCCCCTGTTAGTGCCCCTAAACTTGTCGGCCCCTATCATACGCGCTCACACATGCGATCATATGTTGGCCACTGGCTGATGAGAGAAAGAGAGAGAACAAAGAAACCGATCAACTGCTTCTTCGACGACCCGGCAATTCGTAGGTCAGTTGTGGAAAGTTTACAAAAAGGCCTGTAACAAGGTTTTGTAGTCTTTCTTCAGCCTAAACGTTATTAATTGCATATTAGCGGTTATTGCTATATAATTATATATACAATTATATATTTCCTTTCTATATAGTTCTATACATATATTACACACTATATATATACGTATAATAGTATTATTTAATTAACCGAGAAAAAAATGCTAATATTTCTTATAAATTAATATTAAAATGTAATTAAAAATTCTCCAATATTAGGACCAAATTCAATATTAGGTATATATGTAAGTCAGTGTGAAAGGTTAATGTGGATTTAGTTAGATGATTTTATTAATAATGACAATCACATTATCGTAAATAAAATCTCATCAGAATAAAAAGGGGAACAATGTTTTTTTCTAGAATGTAGATCACACACATTTATATAAAAAATATTTGAATTTAATTACACGAGCTAATTACATTTGTGTGATTATCAACAAAATCAATAAAAAGACTATTTTTATTATAAATTAAATAATTCTCTTCCTTCTTTTTTCTAATTTTTTGTGGATTTAATTACACGAATTAATCATTATATTCTCGTATATAAATACCAAAAAATAAAATAAGTACAATAAAATAAGGGTAATATAAACTTATATAAGTTAAATTATCTTTTTTAATAACCCAAAATATATACATATAATTTCTTTAACACAAGTTGTTATTACTCTCCTTTTATCTTGACAGGCAGTGTTTGTATGTACGTACCTAAAGAACGAACTACATTAAAGGTTCTGAAAATTACAGAGAGAGAAAGAGACGTCTCTGATATATCGGCGCCTATGTATTATATATAATATAACATGTATGTATGTATATATACGCTGCTCCAGTTACGGCAATGAATACGCCTGGATGTCGTTTGTGTTAATTACGCGGAATAGCATATCTGCACTTTCATGTCGACGGTCTGACGTCTACAATCTACAAATGTTTGTAGCAGCCTCTAATAACTAATATCGGCCAAGGAGAGAATCCACGAGATATATCTTCAATACAAATCGAGAATAGTTTTATATTTTTTACCTATTTATATCTTTAATATTTACACACAATTTTGAATGTACTGAAATAATTCTAATATTATTTTCAGATACCGAAATGAAATACGAGAAATATAATACTGTAATAATTACGTCATTGACTTTTTTTAAATATATGGCTTTAATTTTCATCCTTCGGTTATCTTTTAACTATATATTCTCGAGTTATGAGATATACCTTTTTAATTTAATAAAAAATGACGGAGAAAGTATCAATTATCTTTGTTGTACTGCTTTTATTAGCAATAATTCTCTTGATCGTCTAACCGAGTCTAGTCCCATAATGCGAGCGTAATGCTATGCACAAAGCGAGTGATGAAATAATTATAGATATCGATTTCTAAAGAAAGTATAGCTCGACGACGATGGAGGAAAACGCGCGGGTACGCACCTGCGTTCTACGTTTGGCGCGGGTTACGTTCTTGTAAAAAAGCGAGCTACATCGTTAAACGAGATGTCGCTTTTATTGCAGCATCGCGAAATAGTGCATTAATTCGAGGAATGGTCGTTGCATATTATATCATGATATCGAGGAAGGCCGCGAGCTCCCTTTCGATTTAATTGCATTCCGCGGGAGGACGAGCGAGAAAACCGATACATCAAGTGCTCATTAATTCGCAAAAATTATTCGCGATGATCTTTTTGCGCGGATCGAATTTCGCCGTATCACCCGTCGCTAATCGATAAAAATTTTTGCGCTCAAAGTCGAGTCGTAGACAAAAAAAAAAAATATCTCGCAGTCATTCCACTGCAATCTTTTTCTTGACTTTCAAATTTAAACATTTCATATGCTTCTAATATGTCCCAATTTAGCGACACATAAATTATAAAATAATGTATTATATGATTAAAATATCTTCAATCTCTTTCATTGTTTAATTCACTTACTTATTCTTATTTTTATTTGTTTGACAAATTCAATTTTCTCGCAGAAAGCACGATCTATCAGATATTTCGGAGAAATTGTAAAAATATCGTAAAATAGCAAAGTGGGTCGGAACATTAAAAGGATCGCGCTATTATTTACGAACTGATCTCGCGATTGAAGCGACTATATTTAGACCAAGTAAATTTACACTTTTACAACGTTTCATGTGTATATAATTTTCATGTTTCCATTTTCGTAAGTGGATATCTCTTGCATTTAATTAGACATACTCTGTGACATCAATTCAAATTGAGCGATAAAAAATCCGATCCATTCAAATTTCGCCGAAACTTTGCCATTTTTCTGATTCGATTCGAATCGTTTAAATCTCGCGAATCTTGCGATACAACAACAACAACAACAACATCAACGATTGCGCCAGAAAGTCGATGTCGTCGTCGAAGCCCACATAATGCCGCCGCTGTTCATCGATCTTACGCGCGTGAATTCGTGCGACACGTGCGCCTGCGTGTACACGATACGTATATATGTACATCAATAAACATACGTGTGTGCGCGTGTTACACAGGGACGAGCCTAAACGTGCAAGGGGTTGGTCGCGCGTACACGTGTGCGCGCGTATATACAAGGCTGGGGGTACATACATATCGGTCGCCGCTATCGATTATTTTACTCATGTGAAACTTACCCCCCCTTACCCCTCGATCCCCCCCGCGCCGTGCGGAGCGCCCCACTCGTGGCGTCGCGACGCCTCGTATAGAGCGCGATATCGACGTTACATCGCAGCTCTCTCTTGTCCCCCACATACATACATATATAATATCCATTTTCATAATGAATATTATAAAGCTTATATAAAATAATATATATTATATATAATATATATATTATATATAATATATATTATTTTATATAAGCTTTATAATATTCATTATGAAAATGGATATTATATATGTATGTATGTGTGTATGTATATGGATACATTTTAGGTACATCAATTTGTTTTTGCAAATTTATATGGAAGTAGTAATTAGATATACATTGAAATAGAAATAAAAAAAAAAATCAGAGATAAGTTTCAGAATAATTAAAGAATAGCGCGGTTTTACAAGGGGCAATATTATTCGATATACGAATATTACACGCGCGCATCCCTTTTGAATATTTATTTTCTCGCATCGAAATAATCCGGCGCGGCGCTTTAATCACGCGGCGAATTTATCCGCTTGCGTTTTAATCCACCGTTCCTTTTTCTGTTCGACTCGACCGCCGGATATAAGGTAACGCCGATATCGATTTTACTTTGTCGTTGATACTCAAATGGATTTCGTTCACGGAGGATATTCGAAGATACCCCCGTGCATGCGTTACGTTCTCTATCTCTCTATCGTATCTCAATCTCGGAATCGAGATACTCGTAATACGTGTCAGCTGCCGCGTTTATCGAAATTTTATCAAGCCGCAAAAGCGCTTGAAAAATACTCGATCGCGCGATCGATCGATCCTTTTTCAACGGTGCGGATTTTGAAAAGCGAATCTCCTCCCTTGCAAATGACGTTTACCACTGCTCATAATCCATCGATATTAATTATTATTTTAAACTGAACTGTTAATATTATTTTATTATAGTTATGTGTTAATATATTTTTAAATTGATATGTATATATATTTAAATATTTTACGACGTACAGAGAGTATATTTTTATATTATATATATATATATTTATAAAATTTAATTGGAATTTGTATGAAAATGTCTAAAAAATTAATGATTTTAAATGTAC